TAGGATGATGATGATATTAAAGTCTAGATAATCGTGGCTCTATCCAAAGAAGAAAACGCTCTCACCTGTGGCATGCCACTTTATTTACTATTGTTGATTCTATATGTTTGAGATAGCCCTCAAAAAAATATACAAAGAACATTAAAAAGGCCTTTTACCCATATGATAGGCACTTTGCTGATAAAAGAGCTTCTATATCGCATCAGAGCACTATCAGGGGAAAAGTGGATGGTCTTGAGCATTTGAGCGGGGTGAAGTGATTCTTGATTACTCGAGGTAATCCTCCTCGCTCCAAAAAATTGTATCACAGTAATGTCATATTTAAAGGGTGTAGAAGTCTCTTAAGCCGGGTTAAACTATTGCTTGCTCCATAGGAAAATACAAAGCTGGTTTAAGAAGAGACAGAACAACAACAGACGAAGCTAAAACAAATGCAAAACTTCATTGATGTAAGGGGTCTAATTTATGAATGGGAAAACTCAGTATACCTTTAAAAGTTATTGTAGATGACATCAGTGTGAATATTTTTAGTTGCTAAAATTAAACGTCAAGGAAACAATTAAATTGATTACGAACAAAACTGTAATAAACAATATGAAGATCAAAGTGACAAGCTCATCGTAAAATAAAGACCTTGAAAAAAGATGAGAGAATAAGAAAGACTACAGATGTAATAGACAGACGATCTTATTAAAAATTTGCAGTCCCAATCTAGACAAATGTACATAACAAGAATCAGAGAAGACAATAAGAAATCAGAGGACGATTGTTGATGCTTTAAAAGACAGGTGTTAAAACCAAACAAATGTACAGTAATACTTAGATTCAGATTACGTTTAACGAATGAAGATTTAATCTTTTTCTATTTATCCTTGCATTTAAGAGTTTCCTTTCGTCGTTTCTAAATTACAAAACAAAAGCATCTATTTTGCAAAAGCATTTAATCCGCTAAATGTTTTACCTCGCCTATAAAACTAAAACAATGAGCACGTGACGTGAAAAGATTTTCCTTCACCGCAACTGCATTAATTCAAGGATTCACAAGAATTGAATTGTTCTTAACATTGCCTGTAACAACTATGAATTATTTTATTAATTTTAATACACTTTGAGTCAAAAGTAATGCCCGCTCTTGAAAAGAACTTTATTTTCCACAAAGTAGTTGCATGAATTAGTAAATAAAATTTAAAGTTCTTCTTCTGTCAATAGCACTACAGCTCAAATTGAACCTTGGCCTCCTGTAATTTTTGCTTCCTGTATACGGCTATCCTGTCTCTCTTTTCTACGCGTCGCTCGTAGAAATAATAATCAACTCAGAGCGATGTACGATTTATTACAGAATTCCAGAACTAAAATTAACAGTTCTGGAATTCTGGAATTCATTTTTGACAGTAGAATCCATAAAATGGTAGTTCATTCCTGCTATATCGCCACATTATGGGGGAGGATGAGCACCAGATAATTTTCTAACTTTGACAACACAAATTGAAGCATGTCTTAATTCCAGACCATTAACTACTTTATCCACTAACCCAAAAGCTTTTCAAGCTTTGACCCCAGGTAATTCTTTAATATTTTTACCATTAACAACCTTTCCTGACGCCAGATTTATGAAGACTTTCAAATCTCAACACGTTTCAACAAGTGACTCAAGTGCTCCAAAATATTTGGTCAAGATGGTCAACAGATTATTTAACTCAACTTTAGTCGAGATCCAAATGGAGCACTGTTAGTAAACGTGAAGTGAAGATAGATCAAGTAGTGTGTCTTTACCACCTCTACAGTGAAAATTAGGACGTACTTCAATGGTACGTCGAGGCAAAGACAATAGAATATTTGTTGTGATAGTAAAAACAAACAATGGTAAAGTGACAAGAGCGCTTTCAAGCATGTGCATATTACCAATAGACATTTAAGTTCATTTTTATTTATAATGGGCAACAATAAACCCTTATTTTGTATACTTGTATGTTATTTGATGGATTCTTTTTTTGAAATAGCCAGGGTATTTCCAGTCTGGCGGTATGTTGCAGAAATAAATTTTAATAATAGAAGTGTTAGCACAATAAGCGTCTGTAATACGTCAGGGCGCATGACAAGCAAGGAAAAATCTGACATTCATAATATAAACCATAAGCGAGCAGTTAACATGTAAACAGCGTAATCATTTTAATAAGACCAATATATCAGTTTCAATGAGTTTATCGTTATTTATCAGTATTAAAAATCAACATATTGTTATTTAGATACACATTGTATCAGAGATACAATAAATTTTAGTCTATTTCTGCCAACTTTATTTAAGGTTTCAATTTTCACTTTTCTCGAATTTCTTTGAAATAATTTTGACCTTATGGTTTTTCTGCTGGTCCATACTGCTTGTTGTATATTTATGATTAGTTTCTCTGCTTCTTCATCAAGTTGTTCATTAGTTTTAATTGGTACATTTAGTTCAATGGCTAGCCCATTGAATTCTATTAAAAAGTGGGACCATCAGCTTCTTATATTTTCATAAAACTTTTCTTGAAATGAAAAAGTCCATTAAGTCTGGTGTTTTATTTTTATCAGTGGGCGAATGATGGGTGAAAAAGAGCTCTATGAGTGAAGAGACCCAAACAGGAAAGGGAAAGGTCAATTGAAAAAAGGCAAGAAGAATGAAACAACACGGAGGATGTAGCATAGTGGACAAATGCTGATCCCGAACATAAGATAGTGGGTGGACTGTGGCCACAGGCGACTGGATTACTTCCTAACGCAGGGCTCCCAGAACACGAGTGTTTTAGGACATATCTCTCTAGGTTCGGAATAGCTGACACAAAAGAATGCCTATACTGCGGACACAGAATGAAAAGAGAGACGGGTGTGAATTTTGTTACAGTAAGAGAAATGATTGAGAGAATGATTGAAAATAAAACATGTTAGACTACTGTACACAAATATATCCGAGCAGTGATCAAGAAAGAAGAAGAGGAAGAAAGACAGCTGGACCAACGGTAAAGGTAAGAGGGAAATATGCTGGAAATTGAAGGTAGAAAAGTGAATTAGACTGTGTGAGTCAGACTGTGGGGAAAGATAGGAAGCCTTCTTCCTGACAGTCTGTGGATGAATAAAGGTAGTGCCTTGGAAGTAATGTTGGCCTTGCAGCGGCCATTTCGCTTCCGGATCGCTGGATGACAGAGGAGGGATTTTAAAGTACCTCGGGAACTATTGCCAGGAGTCGATAAAACGAATCCTGCACAAAGATCAGTCAGGCGGCATCCTGCACTAAGATTTCTTTTGAAATTTTCAGACCCCCCTCTATAAAGACGAAAAAAATGCTGAGTGCTGTTTCCATTTATATTTTTTATTGTAACACGTAATTTATTTGTAATTTTCTCCAAGCATGTTAAGCAACTGGAGGTAATTTTCTTTTTTTTTAGATTGTTTTGGTGGAAAATGTTGTTGCATGTTTGTTTTGTGAAATGTGTCTCTGATATTAAACATATTTGGTTGTTTAAGGTAAACAGTACCTCCTGCTAATGTTTCAAGAGGCCATTTACGTTCCAATGTAATATTCTTAACTCTTCCACCATTTTATCTTCTATTGGATTTTGTGCTAATTTAGATTTTATTATTGAATTCTTCTTTCTCTGTTACTTGTTTTGGCTTGTTACAGACTATTTAGGCACATGTTTGGATTTGGTTAAGACAACCTCTCTTGTTTTGTTTTGTGTAGGATTAGGTATGTCTGCTGCCTTTTTGGTGGTGTGGTTGTAGCTTGTTGTTTGTTCCGTGAATTTTTAAGAGCTACAGTAGCAGTGCAACTTCTTTGATTATCTTTGTGAGCATCATCACAGTGAACACATTGAGATTTTTTATTTTGTGGCTTTTCACAACCATTTGTTAAATGATTCCCCATGAATTTTACGCAGCTCTTTTTCGTTTACAATCGTTTGAATTGTGAAATAAGTTTTGGCTTTCTGAAAGTAGCTATGGCTACTTTCATGTGTAAAATTTTGGTAATTTCATATACTTCTTTTATATATATTCCTCTTTGATACAGTAAGTACCTAATCTTTTTAGAAATTTCCTTATGTCCTGAGCTTGCCAAATCTGATGTAGTTGTCTTGCAACTACTTTAAAAGGCCTATTTGTTTATATTCAAATGAGTATCATGTAAGATCTGCGCCTTTAGCGTCTTTGTAAGATTTCTGTAACTATTTTTCTCATTTAAATTAATTTTTATATTTTCACATGCTAGCATGCTAATTTGATTACCCAGCTGTCCCAATAGGGTGTCGCAATTTTCCAAATTTTTTATAATAACTAATGGTAGTTTAGGTGCCGTCTAAATCTCTCTTGATTTAGTTTTCTGTTGGTGGGGTGTTTGGTTTGGTTTCTGTACTTAGTTTATCCTCGTCTGTGTAATATTCCATACATTCATTTTCCTGTTTTTTTTTCTTCCTCTATTTTCTTTTGTAGTGTATCTATTTGACATTTTATTTGTTGTATGATCATATTTAGATCTTCTCTTTCTTTTTTTTTCCTGTAGAAAGGCGTTATATCACATTTGCTGAGTAAAGAGCACTTGATTTTGTTGAGTTAGTAATGCTTTACTTGGCTATATTTCCGCACACTTATCTCACACTACGGTTCAGAGTGCCTATAGACTATTTAAAATTCAATAGTTAGGCAGTTAGTTTAACTATGTATATTTGTGAATATTAAACTTTTATACGTGATCAAAATAGGATTTTAATTTTGCAAGTAAAAACTTTCGAATTTTTAAGTACTACTTTTTTAAATACATTAGAAATTAAAAAAAGTTTTCTTTGCGATCTAAAAACAATGAATAAAGTAAATTCAAACCAGCAATATTTTTGTCCGCATGTTTATAATCCCGCAGATTTGCTCACTGTGAATATTTACATTTTATTTATAAACACTCATTCTTTATAAAATTATCTATAGTGTATGTGTTTGTATATTATTAAGGTTAAAGTTCTTCGAAGATTAGATTAATCTTAATGTGGAACTAAATATTATGATTTCCTTAACGATGCGCTGAGTATTTTTAGTGTGCATCCCAGATTCGTTCTAGTTTTGTGTTAGTTTTCATTCGTCTGTTTCAAACAAATTTAAAAGTAAGTAAGCACATATTTTTTACGCCAATATTTTCAAGTGTCAGTTCTAATTGAAATAACAGTAAAAATGAATCGCGTAAAAATAAAAGTGTGTTGAAATTTTGTTTCATTTTTCACTCCTTTCTAATACACCAGGCTATCTGGGAAAAAAGCATTTATTTCACGTAAACATCTTATACAGATATTTGAAGGTTCTAAAAGGTGCTTAAAGGCGTAAAGTTGATTTTGATTTATTATTTTTTTTAAACAATCTTTAAAAAGTGAAAAAGACATTTTTTGCTCATAAAATGTTTTTTATGCAGCTTAGAAAAAAATGTTCAAATTATATGGCTTCGTAAATTATAATATATAAGAATTCACCAAGGTAGTTGCAAAAGAACCCTTCATTTTGTAGTAGATTATAAAAGTTACTAACTTTGTTTGTTGCATAATAGCATGTAATATAACTACTTAAAATTGTGGCAATTAATGAATTGTTAAAGTGTGCTAAATTTCAAATAGATCGACCGAATAGTTTAGAAGTTCAATTCTTTTCAAATTCAATTTCCTTATCCTGAAGAGGGATCATGTTTTAGCTACTGTTCTTGCCCAGACACTCACTCTAGAGGTATTCTGTAAATCTAAATCGATTCTATAAGGGTACATTTTTAAGTTATATTAAAAAACTGTAACATTTTATTAAATTTGTTATTAAAAAGCAGTTTGATAAAGGACCGACTTTTTAGCTTATAAACAATCATAATAATTTTGACGTTTTGAATGTCACATGTTGGTTCGTAGGCTCAATAAAAAGTGGTTTGGTGAAAAAGTCCCCTTACCAAAGCAAAACAAAAGCTTCTGTGACCAATAAGAAACAGAATAGCATTTTGTTTCTAAAAATATTACTTCCAGTATTTATTAATGTTAAGAAATAGTAAAAAGTTATAACCCGTTAGAATGATGGTAATGGTAAAATACCGCCACGAAAAAGTGGAGGTGTGAACTACAAAATTATTAGCTACTTATTTTCATTTAATGCAATTATAATAAAATAAATTATTTTTCCGCAAATCGCCAGGAAATTTTGACATTCCTGTCAAAATTTCTTGAAGAAAAAGTCAGAACTTCCTTACTGTAAGGAAATGTCATTTCCTTACTGTAAGTAAATGATATTTCCGTACAGTTAATTTATAACCATTATAACATTATATGTGTTTGACAATTCAACCTCAATACGTTTCCATAGTAACCCAAGTAATTTTATAAGGAATTTCAAAGCACCATTTATTTGGGAATAAAATTATCGGGTTTTTTAAATCAATCAATATCTGTCGAATTTTAAACGATTTGCGGAAAAATAGTTTTCCGCAAATCGCCAGGAAATTTTGACATTCCTGTCAAAATTTCTTGAAGAAAAAGTCAGGACTTTCTTACTGTAAGGAAATGTCATTTCCTTACTGTAAGGAAATGATATTTCCGTACAGTTGTTAGTGTTCCATGATATAAGGATACCAGATATGATATTGCCACGCACTAAACTCGTACACTCACGCGCATGACGTCACCTTGTGCTAAATTTTCAAAATGTATTCATGCTTGCGAATGAAACGAACTGTTAAAATTCTAATATAATTTACTAGATGTTTTATTTACTACGTGAATTTAAGCTTAAGTATTTAAATTAGTATATTGTAAAAAATAACTTTTCCCATAAGAGTGAAGTTTGATGGAGGGAGCCATGGCCGAATGCCACAAATTGCAAACTATGGAATGTGATTTTCATACAATATATATTTTATATATAGTAGTTAGGTATTATTGACTAACACGTTAGGTAAACTAAAGTTTTCTTTTGAGGTTGCAGTCATTAATAGGGCAGAATAAGTAAAACTCTTTGTTCTTTTATTTAGCTTTCACAAAATTGATTAGCTTCTTCAGGATATGCTAAAATCTGGTTTTAATTATTTAATATATATATATATATATATATATATATATATATATATATATATATATATATATTATATATACATCTACCTACATTTTTCTTTTGAGGTTGCAGTCATTAATAGGGCAGGATAAGTAAAACTCTTTGTTCTTTTCTTTAGCTTTCACAAAATTGATTCGCTTCTTCAGGATATGCTAAAATCTGGTTTTAATTATTTAATATCTCAATATATATATATATATATATATATATATATTATATATATATATATATATATATATATATTATATATATATATATATTAATAAAGTATTCAACTAGTGAATTCAGAGGTGAATCGGTCATTCAGGTTGCCAAAATAAAAAACAGAAGTCAACTACTTCATAAGTTTATAGAAGACGTTTCGCTTTATACTTCTAAAGCTTCATCAGTTCTAACTCAATATGTAGTATTAAAGATGTTATTATATAGTACTTAAGTTTACTCATTAGTTAGAACTAACTTCAGAAACAAAGGACACAAAACTTTGCAAAAAATAATATCATTCGCAGAAACGAAGATTTAACAAAATTTTAAACGTACAAACAATTTTAAACAAAACACTGATGAGTGTTTTGTTTGTCTTCATTGGAGAACCATCTCTAAATGAAGCCAAATGTAAAGCTATTTAATTGCTATTTAAAATTGGAAAGCTATAAAATGCTGTACCGGGTACAAAACTCTTATACATATTGTCAACGGCACAACCATACACTGCACACCTCATATTGGGAAAAATTTAAACGACATTTTAAAATATTATTTTACTAAATATTGGCTATGAACCGTAAATGTACATAAACATCAAAACACAATATGGCGAAATTTAGCACAAGCTGACGTCACAAATGTCATGCATAAGCCACGCCTACATGCGCGGTATCTTATCTGTTTGTATTTATATCATGTTAGTGTTCTACATAAATGAGCGTTAAATTTGACAATTCAACCTCAATACGTTTCCATAGTAACCCAAGTAATTTTATTAGGAATTTCAAAGCACCATTTATTTGGGAATAAAATCGCGTTTTTTTTAAATCAATCAATATCTGTCGAATTTTAAACGATTTGAGGAAAAATAGTATGTTTACCTCGTAGGAAAAGCCACATTCCTGGACTCTGTGTTGCTAAATCTCGGCTTGCGCCTCGACTTAGCAATCTTCACAGTCGTCCAGGAATGTTAAGCTTTTCCTACCCGGTAAACAATGTACTATTGTTTAAAAAAAAACTGTAAAATTAACTAAAAAAATAGAAATAATTTTAATGTAACAATAATAACAATAAAATGAATTTCCATCAAGTAACGGTCGAATCCATCAATAATTTTAATATTTTATAATTATTATTATTATTTAAAGTGATTGAGTATTATAATTATTAAAGTGAAAAAATGGAAACAATTATTTAATTTCATTTTCCGGGTTTTTCCGAGAAGTAAAAATAGCACAATTCTTATTTTTTTTTGAGCGACCCGAGTTAAAAAAAACGAAGGTTTTACGTACAATATGTTAAGATATTGCAAATTTTGCCAACGCCCTTCAATTTGAAGTTCCAATCTAAAAAACGGAGCTCGACAACCTCCACTTTTGGGTGGCGGTATTTTAGAGTAGATCGTTTTAACTGGTTACAACTTTTTATTCCGTCACTGTAGATTTAGATCTTCATTAAGAATCCTGTCAGTTTTTAGCTCTCAATGTTAATAAACAATGGAAGTATGATTTTAAGAATAAAATACTATCTACTATGTTTAGACTTGACACTTGTGATTATGAATTATGGCCATCTGAATGTTATGAAAACTATTATGTCGAATTATGTACAATTAGTGTTTCTTTCCGCTAAATAAACTTAAGAAAACTAGAACAATAATATTTATTAACGGAGCCTACAGATATATCTTAGTTCCTATTGGTTATAAGAGTCTGTGTTTTTCGTCTTCCGATGCCCAATCTCCATGCATCTCTATCTTCCCAAAAACCTCTCTCTCGGATCTCTCTGTCTATTCCTTCTCTCCAGCTCTTTCTGGGTCGGCCTCTTTTTCTCTTTCCATGTGGTGACCAATCTATAATCTGTTTGGGCAGACGATGTTCTGGCATTCTCTGCACATGTCCATACCACTTTAGTTGTTGTACTCTTATATCTTCGACAATCGTATGTGTGACTCCCATAACCTCTCGTATACGTTCGTTATTAATTCTTTCGAGTTTTGATTTTCCTGCGGCCCGTCTATAGTAGTCCATCTCCGTGGCTTGTAGTGTTTTTTCAGTAGTTGCCTTTAACTGCCACACGTCACTTCCATACATTACTATGCTCTTTATAATAGTGTTGTATATTCGATGTTTATTTTTTTGGATATATGTTGATCCCAGATAATACTATTTAGTTGAGATATGGCCCTTCTACCCTGAGTGTTTCGTTTTTTTATAGCCTGATCTGATTTGCCGTCGTCTGTGATTGCTACTCCTAAATAGGAATATTTATTGTTGTACTTAATGTGTTGTCCGTCGTTTAAAACTAGATTTTGTTCTTTACCACCGATGTTCATGTACATTGTTTTATCTATGTTGACCCATTTTTTGTATTCTTCGATCAATTTTCGAGTCATGTATTCTAGGTCGTCATATTCGTTAGCAATCACAATTTGATCATCAGCAAAACATAGAGTGTACAGGTTGTTATTGTTTAATTGTATACCCATGCCGCTGCATTTCCGCTTCCAGAGTTTTAATGCTTGTTCCAGATATATTTTGAAAAGTGTCGGCGCTAAGCAGCATCCCTGCTTCAGTTCTTTGTCTACTACAAAACCTTTGGAAACATTCGTTCCTATTTTAACTTTGGCGTTGGCGTTCTCATATAGTTTTTCCACTGCTGTTATGAGATTTGAGTTGATGTTCGTTTGTCTGAGAGTGTTCCATAACTTATTTTGAGGGATGCTATCGTAGGACTTTTTTAGATCAACAAACAAAGCCAGCCCTTTTAACTGTTTTTAATAACTTAATAACATTTAATAAAGCTTTTTTGAATATACCTTATA